GCTGCTGCTGCTGCCCGGGAGGCGGCTGGCGGCGGAGGCTCGGCTCCCAGTAGCCGCACATCCCACAATACACCGCTAAGGAGCCCGACCCGAGCGCTCACCCTCCTCCTCTTCCTCCTCCTCCTCTTCCTCCTCCCCTCTCCTTCCTCGCTGCTTCCCCAGGCACTCTCCCGGCGGCGGCAGCTGCGCCGCCAAAGCCCCGGGCCCCAGCGGCCCCCCACCCCTCACTCGCGCGCTCCCACACTGCCTCCCCCCTCCCCGGGGGGAAGGCCTTTTAATTTATTTATTCTGCTGGGACTGAGGTGGGGGTCTTGGCTGGCGGGGGAAGGGGGTCTCCCCGGGCTCTACCTCCCGCGCCTGGGGCTACCCTCGGAGCCTCAGCCGCCACTGCGTGCGCCTCGGGCCACCAAAACTGTTTTCAAACTGCCAGGACCGGAGGTGGCCGCGTGGGGACTCGGGGGAAAGGGCTAGGTTTTGGGGGGCCGATTGTGTGTTTGCACGCTAAGAAGCCTTGAGGGGAGATGCAGACGTCTACTCGAGAGGAGTTGCAATCGAGGTATCTGCGCTCCGGCTTCCTCTTCTGGCCCGCGACCCCCTCCCCCGGAACGGAGCTGGGGAGGGGAAACCAGGATTTTAACCAAATTAGCATTCACATTCCTGGGAGGATGCAGCCCTCGCCTGGAGTTGGGTGATAGAAGCTTTTTTCTCTGTTTTTATTTTTGGAGGAGAGCGCCTTGTAATTGTCCTGAACACATGCTTCTCCCTCCCCCTTCTTCCTTCAGCCACCAGCGGAGGAGAGAGTCCCCCTTTTTTGCATTTATCTTTTCCTTCCCCTTTCTTTATTAAAGGTCCGGGAGTGGCGGCAGCCAATCAGCGCGCGGCTTCCATTTTGTGAGTTCAACTCCGAGGCTCTAGGGCTGCATGAGGACGCATTTGCAGCCCCCTATGCCTCTCTTTTCGGGCGGCCGAGGCGAAAAAGCCGCCTTGCTGGGGTTTCGTGATGGTGTATTTCATATTGGGGCTCTTTTCGGGGTTTGTAATTTGGCCGTGGATAGGTAATTGGCTGGAGCAGGGCGGCAGGGCGCGGCAGCCAATCAGCGCGCGGCTTCTATAGGGCTTGAGTTATTAGACGCTGATCTCAAAACATCCTTCATCAGACACCAAGGAGAGGCCAACAGATGAGGGAAGCCATTTTTCTGCAATGGAATTAAATGGCCAAGTGGGTTTTTCCTTTGTTGCAAATGGGGAATGTTTTTCCTTTGACTCCACCATCCAGTTCAGGACGCCTCAATGTGTTGTTTAACATTTGTCAACAGGCCACAGGATTCAAAATTGGAAGAATGAAGAAGACTTTTTAAAAAGATCTGGACTTTTCCTTATGACTTGGAATCCATCTTTGTCTTGTATAACTAGGTCATAGCACACCATTAATGTCAGCAGTTAACAATTTTGAATTCCAAAAAACCTAAGTAAATGACATATTTAATTTTTTTCCTCTTTTTTTCTTTGGGTGGGTGGGAGGGAGCTCGGAACTGTCTTAATCTGTATTCTCTTGGCTGAACAATAAATTTTTAAATATATAGTTTCCTCTATTAAACACTTAAACCTGGCCATCTTATTAACTCCTTCTCTCTTTTTAACAAGGTAATGTTTTAAATGTATAGTTTTAGGACTAGCGAAATGACAGCAACAAAAAATTGTGAGCAGTTGTTACTTTTAAGTTTTAAAAAAATCTTTAACGTTGTAAGTACCCAATCCATTATGTCCTTATGCAGTGCAGTTTTTCATGTTAATGTTGCTGAGATGTCCTTAATTTTCCGAACCTTCATCTGCATGTGTGTCTTTGTCTCTCTTGTCTACGATACGCCAGTTAAAATGCTTTTAGACGATTTTGCTTTTATAAAGCTAAGGTTTTAGCTTTATGCTTTTGAAAACGTTCACAGCAATAAATGCTAGTCTCTTTCTTCCCAGTAACGTGTACACTTTTCTTTGAAATCGATCTATTTGAAGAAAAACAGTTTTGTTTTTCTCCTTTGGTGGGGTAGGGTGGAAGGGGGGCTGAGGGAAAGGAAGACCTTCTCTTTGTGTGAAGAGACTAAAGCCGTCACAGGAAACTAGATTAAAACTGGAAAACAAGTCCTAGCTGGTTCGAGCCAACACCAACCTTAACTGGGGGTATTTTCTATGGTAGTTGGGTGGCTGGTGCGACTTTTGCCTTTTGTTTGATTTGACTGTGTATTTTCGCCTTTTGTCTCTTAATTGACGATCATACCATTGCTATATCCCGAGCAGTAAACAGTCCTCAGCGAAGCCGCCTTTTTGCCAACCCAACACTGGAGAGTTTGCAGAAGTGGAAGGAGCAGAAAATGCCATAGAGTGTAACTTACAAAAAGGTAAACATCAAAAAAGACAACACCATAATCCCCAAATTTCCCAACTAAACAAACAAACAAAAGATATTTTTACAATAACATCTCCAAAACCACCGCCCAGCTTGATCTTCTAGACTCCATGGCACCGGGCTGAGCGGGTAAGTAAAAAAAAAGAAAAAAGTGACTTTTGCCCCTTCAAGGAAATCCTTTTGCAGGCCAAGGGCTGCAAGTGTTTGGGAGCTGAGGGGAGAGAGGAGGATTCTGGAGCTTTGTGTTTGGCAGTCGGAACAGGGAAGGGGAGTTAGACAAGGAAGGTTCTTAAGACCCTCTTTGTCTTTTTTGCCCTAGAGGAGAGAAGAGGGGACGCTGCAGCTACTCTCTGGCAACCAAGAAGCCGCCTGCGCTCGACCCCCTTGTCCTTCCCAGGTCTGAGCCTTGATTCGGAGAGAAACTGAAGTGCTTTGGAGACAGGGGGCTCAAAAGACGAGGAAACCTCCCCGTCCATCCTTGGGCCTCTTTCCCTTTTGATTGTGGTGATTTCGTATCCCGAAGTTGGCTTTTTGGGGCTCAGGGGCGCGCCTGTGCCTCCAAAGGGAAAAAGGACAAAAGGCCGGCGTCCATATTGGCACCATGACGCAGCATCTCTCCCGCCTGCAGCTCTGGGCGCTGCCTGTCTTCCCCGCGCTAGCTCCTCCCGTCCAAACACGAGTTTTGTTTTCAGGCTTCGAGCTCATCCGCCGGCTGGGGCTGGCGGGCAGGCCGGGCCAGGGCTGCGGTGGCTAATGGCGGCCGGTGCTCTTTCTTCCTCCCTCCTTCCCCGGCTGTTGGAAGTGCGCAGCCGGCGGCCAGGCCAGGCCCCAGGAGCCCGCTGGGTACCGCGTCCTGGGCTGGGGGACAGATTTCAGTGGCCCTTTCTGGGGCTGCGGGCCTAGGGGACGTCGCGAGCCGCAGCTCCCGCGCTCGCCTCCGCCGGGTGCGGCGGCCAGACGGGCGCCATTTCGCGCGCCGCCCGTGGCTGGGGCGGTGGCGACCGCCGCGCGCCAGTTGGGAGGAAGGGAGGGCGGCGGCGGTGGCCGGGGGGAGGGGAGGGGAAGCCGGGCTAGCAGCCTCCTGCGTTCCAGGCCGCCGGGGGCCGAGGGAGGCTCCGATTCGGAGGCAAGGCGGGCACGAGGAGGCCTCGCTCCGGCTCGGCCGCCGCTGCTCTTCCCCCTCTCTAGTGTACGGGAGCCAGTGGCACAGGACCTCGAGGCTGGTCCCTGAATCCGGTCCTCGGGAAGTTGCGGAAGCCCCCGCGCGGCCTTGCCCAGACCCCAGGGGGCCCCCTCTCCCTTAGGCGTTCAGGCCTGGCCTTCCAATAGCACTTTGATGGCAGAGCAGGAGGGGCCGGTTGCACCCTTTGTCCCCAGGTTGGGCGAGGGGCCCTTGTGGTGTCCGCAGACGCCCCATTTGGCCGCTCAGGGCACACCCCCTCCAACCCAGCTCTCCAGGAGGGAGGTGGGGGTTGGGGCCTGGGAAAGCTGAGTGGGCCTTCCCCCGGGATCCCCCAAGGCGGAGGGCTGTAGGGTAAACCCTCAGATCTCCAGCCCTTCCTGGGGGAGGGGATGCGGTCGGGGCGGGCCTTTGGAAATGCAGATGAGTTGCCTCCTGCTGCTAGTCGCCCGAGCTGAACCTTAGTGACTCAGGCACCCCCCCCCCCACGCTGTCCTTTCTAGAGTGAGGGTCGCCTTAGCTGCTAGGAGGGGAGCTGGCCCTATCCGGTTTGCATTTGGCCTGTCGACTGCCTGACTGACAAGCCGGGGACGACCCTAATCTGCCCTCCGGCTTTCTTTACCCCTCCCAGGTTCTTTGCGGGATAGGGGCCAACGTCCAGATACCCCCAGAGTGGACAGTCCTTTGGACAACAGAAGCAGGCTTAGTTTGACTCTGACAGTTCTCCCACTAAGGTAGGTGTGAGCCCTTTTCCATGCCTTGTGGGAGACTGGGGGGCTTTGGCCTGCAGCCTAGGGAGGGCGGGACCCCAAACCCGCTGGGCTAGTTATGCAGCCCCTCCCCCACACAGATATGTGCCTGTGTGTGTGAACTGCGCTGCCTGCTGGGCCTGCTCGGCCATCCATCCCTGCCTGTCAGCTTCTGTTGTCAAGCATGTGGGGCGTGCAGTTCTCTGCTGAATTTAGCAGCATACTAGAGGCTGCACTTGCAAGTATTTCCCAGTTGTGTGTTTTAGAGTGGAGGGAAGGCCCTGGATGCCTCCTACTTTTGAAAGGTATAGGCGGCTGCCAGAAAGTCGGTAGTGCTGTGTGGCCTTTCCTTCTCACCATCAATGGGGCATGGCATGTGAACTGACAGTATAGCTGCTGGTGTTTAGTTGCTAGGGAGGTGAAGAACAGAGGGACCTGAGATCTGGGCCTTTTTCTCTGTCAAAGAGCCTTCCATACTCCTCCTTGCAATCCCTCCCCACTTCCAAAATGGACAGATGTGTATAGTCTTGTTTCTAGAATCAGCCAAAGCTGGATTTGAAACCTGGCTAGCCATTTATCTTTATGAGCATATGACCTTGAATAAGCTGCATGGTCTCTGAGCCCCAGTTTCTTCATCCACAGAAATGGGGCTCGATCACAAACTCGATTCCCAAACTGGAGTGGGCATCAGAATCACGGTGGCAGCTCATTCAAACTGCATTCTGGACCTGGTCCCCAAGTGTCTAATGTAATAGGTAGAGCCTGAGAACTTGAATTTCTAACAAGTTCCCAGGTGACACTGATGTTACCTTTGGGGGACGCATTTTAAGACCCTTTGGGCTAGATAACACCTGGGGTATTGCTTGGTTCCTGGCACGTAGTAATTGGTTTCCTTCTGTTCAGACCAGCTGATGTCACGTGGCTTCCCCTCCTCTTTGTCTGGGAAGTTCCTCAGCTGGAGATTTGTGGCCCTTGATCTCTGCCCCCCTTCATGTGATCTCTAGTTTGTGATGTCTTTGATGAACCATTTGGGTCCAGGTTCTACTCATCAGGCTGCATCTCCCATTTGGTCTTCAGCTTTCAAGTCCATCACCTCTGCTCCCTGGTACCCTGTGCCCACCAGGATTTTTTTGGCAGCTTCTTGGTGCTTAATCAAGGAAAGCTGTAAGTCAGCTGTGGGTTGGAACCTCCGCGGTGCTAGTGACCTTGGGTAAGCCTCTCCCTGTAAAAGGGTGATAATGATGCCTGCTGGAAAGGGTGGTGGGAGGATTAAATGCGATTAAGGGGGCTGTCCTCAAAGCAGGCTTCACAGGCTTGGCCTCCATTGTGACTGTGATATTGCTGGGAGTGGGGGCTGGGCTGTTTTGAGAATTCCTCCCCCACCAGCCCACCTGCTGAATAAAGCACGTGGTACAGCCTCAGGGCAAAGGGGAAACTGGCTGAAGCATCTAGCACAGCTTTCCTCCTGAGTAGTTTGGGTCTGCCTGAGGGTAGAGGCCTGTCCCAGGCGTCCCCTGGTGGGGTCATAATTTGTAGTCACCTACTCTTGGCCTGTTGAGAAGTGACTTGCCCAAGGTCACCAGGCCACCACTAGTAGAGCCAGGATGGGGTTCCAGGTGTTCTGACTCCTATCCCCATCCCTATGCCCCACCCCACCCCAGCTGTCTGGGTTATTTTGGGCTCTCTTGCCAGCTGCCTGCTGGCCTCGCTACCAGGGGTTGTCTGCTTGGAAGCAAGCAGTGTGGTGCTGTTGGCTCCTGCCTTAATGTTCTCTTTTGCCCAGAGGGAGAGGTGTGCCCCTCTGCATCCTGCTCCAGTGTCTTCCCCCCCTCCCCAGTACAAGTATGTGTACTTTCATCTTTGCTGAGAGGAATTGATGAGGTGTACATTCATATGCACAAGCCTCCCCTCAGTCCACACTCCCTAAAACCTAGTTTTCAGTTGCTCTACCATTGAGGAGCTCTTTGAACCCCTTGAGCCTCACTTGGCCTGTCAACTGCCTGAGAGGGGTATACCTCCTTTTAGATAAGAGTCTTCGGCACTCCCAGGTTGGTCTTTATCTCCCACTGGCCTCGGATGACTGAATAATTGATTGTCTTCTGCCTACAGCTGCACCCAGGCCAGCTATAGCCTGTTTCTCCACTCCCGCCCTAGAGCCAATTAGGGAGCAATTAGGTGCTAAACTGTGGTCTGGGTGTGATTCTCAGAGAGGAAGCTGGTACCCCACCTGGAAGAATTGTGCCCCTCTCTCCACTTGAGTCTCACCCCCTCTTTCTCCTTTTTGTGTCACCTCCCTTCCCCATGTCACTCCCTGGGAGTGAGGGAGGACAAGGCACTCGGCTGCAGGTCACCTATGAGCTTGGGGCAGTGCATGCCTGGCTCCAGGCCCCAGGAGAGGGCCACGCCAGCAGAAGAGCAGCCTGGGCTGGGAGGTGGCTGGGCTTGCCTTACTACTGGGCCATCAACATCCCCGCCTCTTCCGGTCTGTCTACCGGGAGCCCTAGCATGGAATAATGACCTTTCTGACCCTCATGGTGGAGATGCAGACTCTGCCTGGTAGAGAGGTACCCCCACCATCTCTTGTCATGTGGGTTCAGAGCTTGCCAGCTGGTGTGTTTCCAGCAAGTTTTTGCCATGTGCACACAGGGAAAAGGGAGTTGGGTGATAGCTTTTGAGTTGTTTGAGTATAAAGGGAGTTTTGTGTCCTCCTGAAGTGGACCTCCCATCCCTCAGGTTCTCCTGGGCAGCAGGGTCTGGGGGAGTCCTCAGAAGGTCAGGCATACAGCCCTGTATTCCCCTGGCCCCTTCCTGTCCCTGGAAATGGTTTCACCTACTAGAGCCCAGTATCTTCTGCCTCATGGGAGGGGCATCTTGGGTTATTCTGAGGCACCCAGGGAGGTGATGATTATAAGTGTCAGCCTCTTCAGCCTGACCTGGGCCTGCTGGACTTTGCCCTGAAAAGATCAGGTCCCTGCTGCCTTTCTGGGTTCCATTTCCCTGTTGGCCTCACTGTGACACAGGCCTCTGTGTGTACACAAATGAGTTTACCCCACAGATGCCTCCTGGCAGCTGCACTAGGCTTCTGTGTCCTGACGGCTTTTGTGTCAAGAACCAGAACCAGTTTAGTTGCATACCAGTGGGGGCGGGGGGAGGTCAGGGATCGACCCCATCGTGATTTTGTTGTTGTATATTTATTGAAAGAGCTGGGAGTTCACCCTTTATGACTTTTGTTATTAGACCCTTACCCACCCATCTGTGACACTTTGGAATGTCAGCAATCTTGGATCAGCAGTTTTCAACATTTTTCTTACAGGCAGTGATGAGTTGTGTCTTCCAGGAAGAGCCAGTATAGTAAAGTTAGCAGTGTATCTGTGTTTGGTGACCATCAAGGTATATATGAGTGAAAATATAGGATATCTGATAATTTTGTAAATCCATTTATGTCAAGTAATGACTTTTTTTCTCATGATACAGACACAAATATGGCGAAGAGGTAGTATAATTTGTCAGTAGCTGACAGTGCTATGGAGAGAGGGGG